CAGTAGCCGACGCCATGACGGCAATCACGTTCCGACCCGTCAATCACGGCAACCAAGTGCCGAACAACCAATCAGGACCCGTTGGGGGCGGAGCCAACAGTTAAAGAGCCAAGGTATAAAAGAGGGTTCTGTGGAATGATTCATTGCCCTGTCGTGGTTCTAGCTAGTCTGGTCACTCAGTGCAATTACCTCTATTGTCTTTTGGTTCCTGACTCGGCTTGTACTTTGACCCTGCTTTCCTCTCTTGTCCTTTTGACTCGGCTTGTCTCTCGCTTACCTGATCTCTCGTTCCCTCGACCTCGGCTTGTCTCTGACTATTCTTTTGCTTTCTCCTTACGTTAGTCCGGCCATTCTAAGGTCCGGTATACGTACCTATCTCCTGTTTGTATTCTGCGTGTTGGATCCCTGTCACGATCCTGACATTACGACAGGGCGAATGGATCCTGCAGGTACAAACTCTCAGGTCGGTTCTCCTGACTCTAGATTTGAGGCCATGGATCATAGAATGGACCAGATGGCTCTAGCTCTGCAAGCATTGCTATCTCGTCCTAGTAATCACTCAGAGGAGATGCGTACCCCATCTATCTCTCCTATAAGTACAGGCCTAGAGGTAGCCACAGTGGCTACTTCTTCCCGTGTTACGTCCCCGTCACGCTATGGCGGCGCTCCTGACACTTGTCGAGGTTTTTTAAACCAGATTGGTATTCATTTTGAATTACAACCCCACGCCTACCCTACTGACAGGGCAAAGGTTGGATTTATAATTACCTTGCTCATTGACAAGGCACTTAGATGGGCTAACCCCCTGTGGGAAAATGATAACCCGTTAGTTTATAATTATAATGCTTTTGTCGCTGCATTTAGGAGAGCTTTTGACTCTCCAGGAAGAAAGGCCAATGCAGCTAGACTACTGTTACGTCTTAGACAGTATAACCGAACCCTAGTGGATTATGCCTTGGAGTTCAGATCCTTGGCGGCAGAGGTCAAGTGGAATGAACAGGCTTATATGGACGTATTTATGAACGGGTTATCTGATGAGATTTTAGATGAGGTGGCCACAAGAGATCTTCCTGAAAATTTGGAGGATCTGATTTCATTTATTTCCCGAATAGATGAACGTATGAGACAGAGGCAGAATATTCGGGATAGAACCCGTAGATCCTCCATAAGACTAGCTCCCTCATTTCAGACTTCTGATTCTACTACTTTAGCTCTCCCAGAACCTATGCAAATAGGTCATACTCGACTCTCAGAGGAGGAAAGACAGTACAGGAGAAGGGAGGGTCTTTGTATGTATTGCGGAATTAGAGGTCACCTACGCCTAAATTGCCCTAACCGGCCGGGAAACGCTCGCACCTAAGATTCTCAAGAGGACAGGCCTTGGGTGTTTCTATCTTGTCCTCTATTTATGATTATAAAGATCATAGGCTTCTGATACCTGTTTCTTTAGCTTGGGAAAAGGGAGTACTTAATGCTATGGCTTTGATAGATTCCGGAGCAGCTGAAAGCTTTATTGACCAAGCCTTTGTCACTAACCATTCTATCCCATCTCAGCTGAGGGATACACCCTTGGCCGTTGAGGCCATAGATGGTAGACCATTATCTGAACCTGTGATTTTTCGTGAAACCATACCAATTAAGTTAACCACTGGTATCCTTCACGAGGAAAGAATATCCCTCATGCTGATCTCATCTCCTTCAGTTCCTATAGTCTTGGGGTATCCCTGGCTTAAGAAGCATAACCCTATCATTGACTGGGAACTGGGTGAGATAGTCTCCTGGGGTCAGGGTTGCCAGAAGGGATGTGTGCAGAAAGTCTCACCAATTTGCAGGGTTGACGCCCCGGTTAACTCTTCCCAACCTACAGATTTACAGATACCATCACAGTACCAGGATTTAAAGGCAGTCTTTGACAAAAAGAGGGCTGATACTTTACCTCCACATAGGTCTTTCGGCTGTAAAATTAGACTCCTACCTGGTACTATGCCTCCGAGGGGTACGGTATATCCTTTATCCACTAAGGAAAACTTAGTCCTAGAGGAGTACATACGTGAAAACCTAGACAAAGGTTTTATTAGGAGATCATCTTCTCCGGCCGGGGCCGGTTTCTTTTTTGTAGATAAAAAAGACGGCACTCTACGGCCTTGCATTGATTATCGGGGCTTGAATAAGATAACTGTTAGAAATGCTTATCCTATTCCTTTAATTACTGAGCTCTTTGATCGACTGAAAGGTTCCAAGATTTTTACCAAGTTAGATTTGAGGGGAGCTTATAACTTGGTGAGAATTCAGCAGGGAGACGAATGGAAAACAGCTTTCAATACCCGTTATGGCCACTATGAATACACGGTAATGCCCTTCGGGCTTTGCAATGCACCTGCAGTATTCCAGGACCTTATTAATGAAGTTCTTAGGGAATTTCAGCATGAATGCGTTATAGTATATTTAGATGATATACTAATACACTCTAGAGAGATTGAGACTCACCACAGACAAGTCAGAAGGGTACTGCGCAAACTGTTACAACATGGATTGTACTGCAAATTGGAAAAGTGTAGCTTCGACCAATCTCAGATAAACTTTCTTGGCTACGTTGTTTCTGGAGACGGATTTAGGATGGACCCCATTAAACTCCAATCGATTTTAGATTGGCCATTGCCCAGGGGACTCAAGGCCATTCAGAGATTTATCGGATTTTCCAATTATTATAGGCGCTTCATTAAAGGTTACTCTTCTATTATTGCTCCTATTACTAATATGACTAGACAGGGGACTGATACCAAGACTTGGTCCACAGAGGCTCTCTCTGCTTTCAAAACTCTCAAGGAACATTTTGCCTCAGCACCGATATTAGTTCATCCTGACACATCTTTGCCTTTTTTACTCGAGGTTGACGCCTCGGAGACAGGTATAGGCGCTATCTTGTCCCAAAGGCTAGGTTTGGATAAACCGTTACATCCTTGTGGTTTTTTTTTCAAGAAATTATCTGGGCCTGAAAGTAGATATGACATTGGTGATAGGGAACTGTTAGCGGTCATTATGGCTTTAAAGGAATGGAGACATTTGTTGGAGGGGACATTATACCCGGTTACTATTTTGACTGATCACAAGAATTTGTCTTACATAGGGGAGGCCAAGCGCTTGTCAGCCAGGCAAGCTCGTTGGTCCTTGTTTCTGACACATTTCAATTACGTGCTCACTTATAGACCTGGTTCTAAGAACTCTAAGGCAGATGCATTGTCCCGTCAACATGAACCCTCTACGGTGTCTGAAGCAGCTTTGTCTTCTATCGTTCCCAAGTGTAATATTATTGCCAACACTTGTGTCAGGATACACTCGCCGTTGCTTGCTGAGATCAAGAAAGTACAACATCTAGCTCCCAACCCTGTTCCTGGGGATCGATACTTCGTTCCTCCTGAGCTCCAAGTGGAACTGCTGCATTGCTTTCATGACAGTAAAATTGCTGGGCACCCCGGCACACGCAAAACGTGTTCCCTGATTTCTAAAGATTTCTGGTGGCCTTCCCTTCGTAAGGATATAAGGGATTTCGTCAGGGCATGTGCTGTCTGTATGAAGACTAAGCAACCTCACACGCTCCCTTGTGGACTTTTGCATCCCTTAGAAATTCCCGAGAGACCATGGTCATGTTTGGCTATGGATTTCATTGTTGATTTGCCTGTTTCTAATAAACATACTGTTATTCTCACGGTGATTGACAGGTTTACTAAAATGGCTCATTTCGTGCCCTTGCCTAAACTGGCCTCGTCTCCCGAATTAGCTGAGATATTCGCGAGGGAGATTTTTCGTCTACATGGTATTCCCTCTGAAATTGTTTCTGATAGAGGTTCCCAATTTGTTTCCCGTTTTTGGAAGTCTTTCTGTTCTCACTTAGGCATCAAGTTGAATTTCTCCTCTGCCTATCATCCCCAGTCCAACGGAGCTGCCGAACGCACCAACCAAAAGATTGAACAATATTTGCGTTGTTTTGTTTCTGAACACCAGGACGATTGGGTTGGTCTGTTTCCTTGGGCAGAGTTTGCACACAACAATCTCGTTTGTGATTCTACTCGTTCTAGCCCCTTTTTCTTGAATTATGGCTTTCATCCTTCCATTCTTCCGTCGGTTTCCCCTTCCCAAGGGGTTCCGTCAGTTGATGTTCATGTCGCCAATCTAAGAAAGTTGTGGGATCAGACTCGACGAATTCTTCTTCAGAATTCCATGGTGTTCAAGCGACACGCTGACAAACGGAGACGGGTGGCTCCGGTTTTTGCCCCGGGTGATAGGGTGTGGTTGAGTACCAGAAACATCCGCTTGAAGGTTCCTTCCATGAAATTTGCCCCTCGTTACATAGGCCCTTACAAGGTTCTGTGTCGGATTAACCCGGTTGCATATCGTCTTGCCCTTCCGCCTGCCCTGAGCATCCCTAACTCTTTTCATGTTTCTTTATTGAAGCCTTTGGTTTGCAACAGATTTTCCTCCCCTGAGTCCTCCCCTCTCGCTGTCCAGGTTGAGGGTCAGGAGGAATATGAAATCAAATCCATTCTCGATTCTCGTATTTCTCGGGGGAAGTTACAATATCTTGTTGACTGGAAGGGGTATGGGCCTGAAGAAAGGTCTTGGGTGGTCCATGAAAATGTGCATGCCCCTCGTCTCCTCCGGGCATTTCATGCTCGTTTTCCGTCCCGCCCCGGTTCCTTCCGCCCGGTGGGCGTTTCTGAGAGGGGGGGTACTGTCAGGGTACCTTTGGTGTCTACCTCGGAGGAGGTTAGACACCTAGGCGTCCATCCTCCCAGGGGGGCTGACTCACCCGATCCTTGCACTCCTCCCGGTCGTTTACACGCCGGCCGCGATAGCTCCGCCTCCTTTTATGACGCGGCGCTCAGTAGCCGACGTCAGGACGGCAATCACGTTCCGACCCGTCAATCACAGCAACCAAGTGCCGAACAACCAATCAGGACCCGTTGGGGGCGGAGCCAACAGTTAAAGAGCCAAGGTATAAAAGAGGGTTCTGTGGAATGATTCATTGCCCTGTCGTGGTTCTAGCTAGTCTGGTCACTCAGTGCAATTACCTCTATTGTCTTTTGGTTCCTGACTCGGCTTGTACTTTGACCCTGCTTTCCTCTCTTGTCCTTTTGACTCGGCTTGTCTCTCGCTTACCTGATCTCTCGTTCCCTCGACCTCGGCTTGTCTCTGACTATTCTTTTTGCTTTCTCCTTACGTTAGTCCGGCCATTCTAAGGTCCGGTATACGTACCTATCCCCTGTTTGTATTCTGCGTGTTGGATCCCTGTCACGATCCTGACATAGATGAAGCACAGAGGGTATAGACAGGGTATGGGGGAGATGAAGCACAGAGGATATAGACAGGGTATGGGGGGAGATGAAGCACAGAGGGTATAGACAGAGTATGGGGGTAGATGAAGCACAGAGGGTATAGACAGGGTATGGGGGAAGATGAAGCACAGAGGGTATAGACAGGGTATGGGGGAGATGAAGCACAGAGGGTATAGACAGGGTATGGGGTAGATGGAGTACAGAGGGTATAGACAGGGTATGGGGGTAGATGAAGCACAGAGGGTATAGACAGGGTATGGGGGTAGATGAAGCACAGAGGGTATAGACAGGATATGGGTAGATAGAGTACAGAGGGTATAAACTTTATCTCTCTCTCTCTCTCTGCTCTCCCTCTCTCTCTCCCCTGCCCTCTCTTTCCCTATTTCCACTCCCTCCCTCTCTCTCTCTCCCCCGCTCTCTCTTTCTCCCTCTCTCCCCCGCTCTCTCTCTCTCCTGCTCTCTCTCTCTCCCCCAGGTTTCATTGAATAATTTCTAAGTGCTAAGTGCTCTGCAGCAGTAGCTGGAAAGACTCCCAGTTCCCATCAGATCTTGGATCGGTGCCAACAGAGCACAGAACATACTGCCGGACCCTGATTTTACTGCTATCTCCTTAATCCTTTAGGCATTGTGCGGTTAACCTGTTCTGTAACATAATACAGCGATATTGGGTGCCATATTCACATCCTGCATTCCTTTTGAGATTTTGTGAAAAGACTGTTGTAATCCCACTTCTGCCACCAAGCTTGCTGCCACCAATCATGTTTAATGTTAAATCCATATATAGGTAGTGGAACTGCACTCAAACCCTCTCAGGAATCCTTGGGTGCTGACCGGACCAGACCGGTCCTAGTACCAAAAAAAGACCAAATGTAGAATTTAAATGCTTGACAAAGACCTCAAGGGGCCAAAACGTTGCATTTTGGTTCTTGGGTCCAATAAAATTGCCTATGTTTGGAAGACTTTTGGAGTGCCTGGATTACTTTCCACATTTAATGTTCAATCCATGTCCTGAATCAATGCTGATGTTTCTTAGTAAATAAGGTGAAACAAAATACTGCAGGTGCATAGTGCTCTTTCCTGCTCTGTTTCTTCCATGTTCACCTATGAAACAATAGCACTAACACTGGGATCTCTGGGGGCAAAGCTTCGCCAGACTGGAAAAAACGAATTACACCTGAGAGGTCCACCTGCTCTCCTCTCTCTCTCTCTCTCTCTCTCTCTGTACCTACCTCTCTCTCTCCCCTCTCTGTCTGTCTTTCTGTATCATACTGAGATATCCTGCTGAGTATAGCAAACCCTGCAGCTCTCCAAAATTCTGAGATATCCTGCTGAGTATAGCAAACCCTGCAGCTCTCCAAGATACTGAGATATCTCGCTGAATATAGCAAACCCTGCAGCTCTCCAAGATACTGAGATATCTCGCTGAATATAGCAAACCCTGCTGCTCTCCAAGATACTGAGATATCCTGCTGAGTATAATTAACCCTGCAGCTCTCCAAGATACTGAGATATCCTGCTGAGTATAATTAACCCTGCAGCTCTCCAAGATACTGAGATGTCTCTCTGAGTATAGCAAACCCTGCAGCTCTCCAAGATACTGAGATGTCTCTCTGAGTATAGCGAATCCTGCTGCTCTCCAAGATACTGAGATATCCTGCTGAGTATAGCGAATCCTGCTGCTCTCCAAGATACTGAGATATCCTGCTGAGTATAATTAATCTTGCAGCTCTCCAAGATACTGAGATATCCTGCTGAGTATAGCGAACCCTGCAGCTCTCCAAGATACTGAGATATCCTGCTGAGTATAGCGAATCCAGGAGCTCTCCAAGATACTGAGATATCCTGCTGAGTATAATTAATCCTGCAGCTCTCCAAGATACTGAGATATCCTGCTGAGTATAGCGAATCCTGCAGCTCTCCAAGATACTGAGATATCCTGCTGAGTATAATTAATCCTGCAGCTCTCCAAGATACTGAGATATCCTGCTGAGTATAGCGAATCCTGCAGCTCTCCAAGATACTGAGATATCCTGCTGAGTATAATTAATCCTGCAGCTCTCCAAGATACTGAGATATCCTGCTGAGTATAGCGAATCCAGGAGCTCTCCAAGATACTGAGATATCCTGCTGAGTATAGCGAATCCTGCAGCTCTCCAAGATACTGAGATATCCTGCTGAGTATAATTAATCCTGCAGCTCTCCAAGATACTGAGATATCCTACATCTGGATTAGGCAAGGCTTCCTATTATTATTATTATTATATAATTATTAGCTTTATTATAGTGCGAGCTGGCTAGGGAGGCAAGTTCTTATAGAAGACTCTGTGATCGAATATAATAAATGGCAACGAGATACTTCATCAGAGGCGATACAACATCTTCATTCCATGAGCAGGTGGGGTGGAGGGGGCAAATAAACAAGTCCCACCCCTTAGTCCTTGTGGTTTAATGTCCCAGTGACTCTCACATCCTTCCATAGTCCTTGTCAGACTATAGATTATTTCCAGACAAATTCCCTCTCTTTATGAGCTTTTTATTCAATCCTCACTCCCTCCGGCTGGTTTTATTTTCTTAAAAGGTCGTAAAAGCTTTTAATGTAACAATATATCAGAAAGAGACAGAGAAAGAGAGGCAAAGAGAGAGACAGAACAAAAGAGGAAGAGAGAAAGGTCGAGATGGACAGAGAGAGCAATAGAGAGCAAGAGAGACAGTCAGAATATTAGGAAACTGTAATTCATGGGATTTATATAGTGTTCCATGGTCACCAGGTAAGTAGACAGTCTGCACACATGGTAGATAGGCAGACTGGGCACCAGGTAGGTAGGCAGCCTTGGCACCATGTAGGGAGGCAGACTGGGCACCAGGTAGGTAGGCAGCCTTGGCACCATGTAGAGAGGCAGACTGGGCACCAGGTAGTGATACTAAAAACAGGTACAAAAAGCCAGAAATAACATTTACAAAATCCAGAAATTTTGTATGGAGATATAAAGGAGGTATTTAAAAGAGCTGGTATTAGCTCTAATACATGTGAGTAAGATAAGAGCTACATGCTATCAGAGGTTTAATTGTCCTATTATACTACACCATTGGCTTTTTATTCTGTTTGTTTTTTTGTATAACCACATTGATTTCAAGAACTCTCTGACCTGATTTTCCCATAAGAATATATTTTTTTTTAATTGCAAAGTGCTGTTGTATGCTGCTTCCTTGCAAGGGGTATTAACTCTATATCTCCCTACACACTCCCACATTTTGTATGTTATTTCTGGCTTGTATATGTTTTTAGTATCATAATCCGTTATGTATGTGCTTTTTTTCATAAATATTTCTGGTGCAACATTTTTTAAGATTTTTTATCATCTAATATTCTTATGCTTTGTGAAGGAGCCCCATCCTGTGTGTGCTGCCTTCATTTTTTTTGTTTGGTTAACAAGCGCTGACCCACTGCCCTTTTTTTGGCACCAGGTAGGTAGGTAGATTGGACACCAAGTAGGAAGGCAGCCTGGGCATCAAAGTACAGAAGTCTGCTTATGCAAGTGCTGCCTGTTATTGGGGGATTGCAGAGTGCATTCACATATTGCCAGGTGGCCACAAATACAGTCCCCATGACACTTTGCCAGGCATGAAAAGCATTTTTTTAACTATTGCATCTCATTGAAGTTGTTATAGTGTCTGAAGTCCCCATGCACTGTTCCTCCATTCAGTGTTGAACTATTTCATCTAATTGAAATGGTTATAGTGCCTGGAGTCTACTGGCACTGTCCCACCATTTAGTAATGAAACATTTTGGAGCAGTTTAACACTGAATGAGGCTACCTGAGCACTCATAGTCCGGCCCCCACTGGAGGTGTGGCTAAGGCTGAGATTACATACTTCCTGCTAACCATACCAATTAATGCTGTGATAGGCTGAAAGCAGTCAGCTGACACTGCCAACCAATCACAACCACCCATTGATGATCAGATTAATACTTCCTCATTATACCAACCAGCATAGAGGGGATGGACTGCTGGGGCCTCTCATTTAGTATTAAAACATTAAAAATGGTTTAACCAGGAATGGAAGGACAACGCCAAGGAACTCCAGACACTATAACCACTTCAATAAGACAAAGCAGTTATCGTATCTACAGTGTTCCTTTGAAACATTCATGTTAACCAGGTGTAGACAAACCAGACCTCGCCATCACCACATTTGCTTGTCCCCATAACCAGTGGTGTATTTAGGATTTGTGCTGCCCTAGGCAGGACAGTGTTCGGGCCTACCCCCCATTTGAAATTTTTCCCACCCCTTCCTGTCAAGGTCGCACTTTGACTGACAGACGGTCACTCACTGACAGACGCACACTCACTGACAGACGCATACACTCATTGACAGACACTCACTCTCATATACAATGACAAACAATGACATACAAAACTCACTGATTTGACACACTATTACTTGGACACACACTGACAGAGGAACACTCTCACTGACAGACGCATGCACTGACAGACGCACACACTGACATACACACGCACTCACTGATTTGACACACTGATAGTCAGACACACACTATTACTCGGACACACAGTGACACACTGACAGACTCACTCACTGACACACTCACTCACTGACAGACGCACGCACTCACTGACTCACATAGACACACACTTACAGACACACACACACTTACAGACACACACACACACATTCACGTAGACACACACATTCACTTACAGACACACATTTACTTAGACACATACAGACACACAAGTGTATGTATGTATGTTTTTTTGTTTTTTTAAGGGAGAACTTGAGCTTTTTTGATATTGTATATGTACACATAAAACCTTATTTAAGATGAATAGACACACACTTACAGACACACACATACACAGAGACACATACACACACACACACATTAACTTAGACACACACATTCACTTACAGACACACACACTTACAGACACACATTCACTTAGACATTTCCACCAATACACACAAATTATATATTTTTAAAAATTTCATTTTAAATCCACGCAGCCTCCCTGGGAGAGCTGGAGTGGATTGCTTACCTGCGGTCCAGTGGGGCTGCTGGGCGGGCAGGCAGGGGGCGGACATGCAGAGTAGGCGGTGAGGGAGCTTTAATCTTCCTGCTCAGCTCCCTCGCTCGCCTCTAAGTGATGCTGGGAGCCAGCGTGATGTCATATGCCAGCTCCTGGCTTCATTATGCAGCGCGGAGGGAAAGGAGCAGGAAGAGCTCAAGTGAGCATGCTCC